CGCGGGTCGAAGTAGTAGGGGGTGGTGCCTCCCGAGGTAAGGAAAGCGACCCGAAATCGGTTCTGCTTCAGCTGCACCATCACCGCCAGGTCGGCGTGGAAGGTGGTGATGACGATGGGTCGGCTGCCCGCATCCCGGTAGAGCACCTCCAGAATGCGGTCAGTGTAGTCGTTCAGCTCGGCACCGGTCGCCCCCTCCGACAGGTGGTTCTAGGGGAAAAGAGAGGGTTATAAGAATTTTTGAACAGGTAGGACACATTAGCATTTTAAATCTACTGACCAACTTCAGCTGCGGGTACTTGATCTCCACGTTGATGCCGCAACCGGGCTTCACCTTCTTCAGCACATTTTCCAGCGTCTCAAAGGACTGGTTGTCCTCGGTCTCAATGTCCGCGCGGACGTGCGGCATAAAGTTGGTGCTGATCTGTGGAATAAGATGAGTTTTTTAGTTTTTTAGAGTAGTTTGCTATTGTTTTTTGCTTCACTGACCCGCTTAAAGTCCCGAAAGGGAATGTCCTTGATGGGCACGTGGAAGCTGACGTTGTGGTGGGCGTTCAGGCGCTGAAAAAAAGTTAACAAAATTTGGTTATTTTGTATACGAAAAAGTTGTAAAAATAGGTTAATTTCTTACGTCGTGAAGGAAAACCTTGGCAAAGAAGTCATGGTAGATGATGGGCACCTCATCCTTAGAGAGCTGCACATCTAGCTCAATGGCATCACCTCCCTGGTGCAAAGAAAAAGTTTAACATAACAGTCAATGAAAGAAAAATTACAGTCTTACCTTTGAGCAGGCATAATTAAAAGCGGCAATGGTATTTTCAATAAACTCCTGATGTCTGCAAAAAGCAAGTCAAAATAAAAACAAAAAACACTCAAAAAGCTTTTACATACAAATCAAATCGCTTGCCCACGCCAGTGCCTCGATGGCCCATGTACACCACGTGATCAAAATCAGAGTAGGCGTGGTCCTCTGCCGCTGGATTGAAACGGGTGATTGGCCGTACCACAAGGTAGGTAACTGAACAACAAGGAGAGAAAAACAGTGTACAGTACAGGTGCACCGATGTTTAAATGCAGCAGAACAAAAAGCAGCAACAGCAGCACATGTTGAAATGAAAGAGAACGTGCTCAATTAGTTCCAGGCAATAAAGCTTTTATCTTCACCGGCATTGTACTCACCTCGAACCTCTCCAATGGCATTAAAGTGCCCGTCGAGCAGTGTCACATTGCGGTAGCCAGCCGTCTCGGTGGCGGTGAAGGGCGCCAGAACGGCTCTGCTCATCTGCTGGTGCAGAACATGGGCGCCCTTCTCCTGGTGTACGACAGTAAGGCGGAAGGCGGTGGTCAGCGGGCTGCTGCTGTTGTACCAGAAGGNAAAGGGCCAGCCATCGGCCGTCAGGTGGGAGACGAGCACTCCTGCGGTGGTCCAAGTCGAGGTGGTGGTGGAGTTTCCCACGCTTTGTGCCTCCACGGTGTAGGTGATGGTGGTGGTTTCATTGTTAGTTTTATTATTACCACCAAAAAAGTGCAGTGGACTGTGGAAGAACTTTAGCAGAATGGCGGTCTTTCCGTGCAGGAGAATGTCTGGTGGTGCAAAAGAAAGTGAAAGTGAAAGTGAAATGAAAAAGAAAAAGAAAATTGGGTCAGGGTTTGGCTTACCGGAATTTTTTTCAGTAACAGCTGTGGCGGGGGAGGTGAAAAGTACGACGGCGGCAGCAGCAATTGCTG